CTTCGACTCCTTCGCGTACCGCCTCATGCTGCTGCTGTGGCCCCATCGGCCTCCGCGCTGCACCTGCTCCGGCGCGCGGAGCCCCCGAATGATGTCCTCCGAGGCCCCCCCGTGGCGCAGCGCGTACAGGTGAGGGCGAAGACGGCTGAGCGACAGGTGCTTGGCCGCCTCGGCGAAGGCTTTCTTGTACTCGCTGAGGTCGAAGTCCCAGAGAGACGCCTCCGCTGGCGTCGCCAGCTTCAAGGCCTCCAGGACCGGGAAGCACCAGCTCGCGTTGTCGATGATCACCGACTCCTCGAAGAGGCCGACTTTGCTCGGGACCCGATCCACCACGTCGTGCAGCAGGAGCGCCCACTTGTCGTAGGCCAAGCCCGCCGCCGCCGCTGGCTGGACCAGGCTGCGGCCCCGGAGGCGCAGAGCCTCGCCGGGGCGGAGGTATCACAGGAAGCTCACAACCACGCATATCGCCATCCGTGCCTGGCCCCAGCTGGCCAGCAAGCCCGCGATCGCAAAGTAGGCGCTCCTCGGCAGCGGCAGCCGCGTGTGAGCAGGGGCCCGACGAGCCCAGGCGATGGCGCACCGCTTGGCCCGAGGGAGCACCCGAGGCACCGCCTTGTACAGGACAGGCATCATATGGCTGAGGGCCGCCAGAAGCTGCGCCCCCGCGTTGCCGTTCTCGCCCAGGAGGTACATCTGATCGAAGTACTTCACCAGCAGCGCGTCGAGCTCCGTCGTCGAGCCCCAATCCCGGCGGCGGGGCGAGCAGAAGGCCGCGAAGGCCTCGAGCGCCACCTGGTAGTTCCTGGCCGTCGAGGGGAGGATCGCAGCGTTCTCCAGAGTGGACAGCCCCCTGAAGCGCAGCGCGGCTCGGGCCACCTGGGCGGCCGTCTGAGCCCGCTCGCGCTTCAGGGCCGACGCCGCAGGCGCCCGGGGCGTCCGCGTCCCCTGCGCGCCCGGCGCCTGCAGGAGGCAGGCGACCGCAGCCAGCAGCAACAGCGCTCGCATGGCCGTCATGCGGACCACACTGACCGTATGAGCGCGCTCCTGAGAACCATCCGACCTCGCCCCTACAGACCGGGTCGGCTGGGTTGAGCTCCGATGGAATCCACCCGGCGGCAAGTCTCGAGCCAGTAGCGAGCGACAACGCACATATGCGATAAAGACACTGGCGAAGGTGAACGGACCTGGCACGCCCCTTGCCTGCAGCCAACACCAGAGGAAGATTGTCCGAGAGGATCAAGATGCGGCGGCCGTGGGCCTTGCAACTTCTCAAAACGCTCTTGAAGCCCATGACAAGGGCTTCACCTTCAAGAAACAGGATGCTGGGCCCCATCTCGACGTGAGTGGCTGACACGCAGCCCCAGCACCCTGGACGTAGAAGTAGCCTGGGTACCTCCGAGAACTCCCCCGTGTTAGAGTCGGGACCCTCCTCATTGATGGCCCACAAGGGCCCCTCCTCCCGCTCCAGGATCATCGAGGTCTCCTCGTCCACCCCAAACTCCTCCAGGGCCCGCTGCCGGGCCCGAGCACCACCCTCGATCTTGAAACGGAACTTCTTCTTCTGGCGGCCTATGTCCTGGACCTGGCCCTGGCTCAGCTTGCGGCGGACGACCCCCAAGCCGAACGGCGATGCGTCTGTGCAAGCCACGTAGGGATGCCAATCAGCTTGGAGATCCACGCATAACAAGGGTAACAACTTGCGAACGCCCTCGAGCTCTTGCCTAACCGAGGTCCAAAGACGACACGGCGAAGGACCAGCAGCTTGGATGAACGCGCACGCGGCATGCAGCAAAGACAAGCACTCTCGACGCACCAGACTGGTCCAGGTAATATGTCCAGCAATGACGCGTAAGAGATGCCCACTCACCATCGATCTCTTAAGCAGCTCATCCAAGGCGTACCGAAGCCTCCAAATACTGCGCCCCTTGACCGAAAGGAATCGACCGGCTCTGAGAGACATCCCCAAGAACTCACGGCCCCTGCTGGCCCCCTCAAGCTCGTGGACGACAAGGCCCACGCCCCGCAACTGCTTGACAACGACGTTGAGACGACAAGCCACGGCCCCCGGGTCAGGCCCCAAGGTGAGGGAGTCGCGGTGTCCCCAGGAAGCCTAAGAACCACTCCAGGCCTGCCGCCAAGTACATGCTCGTCCCCCCTGAAACCCCCTTTGTCCAAGGCCCCTTCCAAGACGTTCTGGCAAAGATGGAGAGCCCACGAGAAGCCCATCGGTAGTACTCGCACGCATGGTAGCATCGTTACGCCGGCCCCGCCAGGGACACCAGGTATGTGAAACTTCTGTAAATACGAGGAGTCTATACAGGGCAAGCTAAACATGTGTTCCAGTCCTTTAGGAAGCTGCATATGGTAAAAGGCCACATCCAGATCCCCGCTCGCTACATACACAGGGCCCCCCCTCGGCTTCCAAAGAGGCGAAGGCAGAAGGAGACGGAAAACGAGTCGATGGGGGATCTACGAACCTGCAGATCGCAACTCTGGGATCGAAAATGATGCGCTGTGCGCCGCTTTTCTTCTTCACAAAAAACAAACCGAGGTTGCCTTGCCGCCCCATGGCGCGCTCCCAAGACAGCATCCCCCGAGAAGACACATCTGCTAAAAACTCAGCATACCGCCACGGCGAATTCTTGAGGACAGGATCCACATGAAGCCCCCGTGGACAGACTTCTTATTGCAGGGCCCGTGCCTCCGACTCCGGGTGGAGCACTTGGCACTGCCAATCTTCCAGCTGTTTCAAAATAGGCCCCGATGCAAGCGACTCGAGTGGCACTGGATCCACCTGTTCAGAGGGCCATGGGACTAGATCTCGTTGGAAGGATGCGACCGCACCCCCGTCTGACGAGCAAAATGCGGAGCCGTCAAGGAGCGCCGACGGGGCCCCCTTGGAAAACGAGTGCTGCTCAGACGGGCCCACTGGGGAGCCCCCGTCCGCGCGGCAAGTTGCGATAACATTATCTACGGCGGCACGCTGCCCGGCATTCGAGAACGAGAACTCACTGCCGTGGGAGGTGCAGCCATAGGTCTCATTGAGAGCGTGAGTGGCATCGCGAGCGAGTTGCTTGTCATGCTCACCGCGGAGAACCCGACGGCGCACAGCTCGCGACACAGAGACTGGGGCAGGTAGGGCAGCGAGGGGACATCGGGAAGCCCCCGACGATGCTTGCTGCCGCCGACCTTCAGAAGGCCGGGTGGACCCTGCTGCCCTTCAAGGCTATCTCGGGTGGAGGCCGGGTCCCGAGCTTCCACCTGGCGCACATTCACCTCGCCCTTTTTGCCATTCCTGCCCTTCTTGTCCTTGTTCCCGTCGTGGCTGCCCGACGCACCTGACGCCAGCTGGCGCTCCTCGCGCGCCTTCCGCAGCTCCTTCTGCACCGCCACCTCGCGGGCCCTTGAAGGTTTTGTTTGTTTCCCCTCATCCCCCCACTCAGGTCTCCCCCCCAGTAACGTCAGCTTGTGACAAACAGAAACCGGCGGGGCGCGTGATTCAAAAGACGGTTCCCCTGATCGGGCGAATCGCAGGGAGGGCGCCCGCCAAATGGAAGCGCACGGCGGCGGCGCCTGTGGGGCCTCCAGCAGCGAAGCCCTCCACAAAAGCCGACCGCAAAAGCCGAGGCCGTTCCCCCGCCCGTTCTAGAAGAAGAACAGCGCAACACATAACATAAGTGTTTTACGCCTGGCGCGGATTTTTTGGATCCGCGCTGGATCCCCCTCCCTGGCGCGCGGAGCGCGCCAGGGGCGGCGCCGGAGGCGCCGCCAGGGGGGCCCGGCGCGGATCCAATCGGGGATGGACAGACCCCCTTTAGTAAAACGTGGTTTAGTGAAAACGACCTGAGGCCCAAACCTGGCGGGCGCAAGCCTGGAAAATAACGGCCGCGGCGCCCTCTCGAGAGCCGACAACGGACAATTCACGAATCGACGTGTCACTGTTGCGGGTTCTGTCCACCCCCGATCCAAGAAACCCCCGCGGAGCGCCAGAAGTTTGTGTGTGTGGCGCTTTCTCTGCTTCGAGCCAGGGCGCGCGGGGCTGCTCCCGCCGCCCCGCCGTCGTCCACGCCTCCGGCGCCGCCCCTGGGCGCGCTCCGCGCGCCAGGGCCCGGAGTTTCTGTGGGTGCCTGGGGGCCATCGGGGATCAGAAACTTCGGTGGGGGCACTTGCTGGCATGCCAATTTCTTCTTCCGTGTGCCTGCCGTAGCGATCATGTTAGGGAGTCGCGAGCTCTATATACGCCGACGCTTGTTCCGGCCCTGCATTGGAATTTGCACTGGAGGGCTCCTGGTGTATACGGGACCCTGGTGTATACATGTTCCGCTGTTTCCCCGGGACGTTGGGGCAAAAAGTATACACCACGCCGCCCCAGCGCCGTCCTCGACCCTCAAGCAGTCCTGGAGTCCTGGGATAGACAAACAGCCCGCCACTGGGAGTGTACATGCTCCGGTCTCCGACATGTCGTGACGCTGGAGTCTGAAGGTGTATCCGGGCGCAGACGGACTTTCCCCGAAACCCGCCCCGGGGCCGGTCTCCGCGGAGCTCTATCAGCATACGGCAAAGGCAAATTGCTGGTCAGCGTGGACTGCGGCTGCACTGAGTCGGCATCATCAGGGCCCACAGCTGCTAATTTCTCCTATTCGCCGACTCCTTGGAAACCGACCTCGAAAGAGGCCCGGGGCTCTCTCTTCCCGGGCCCTCTCCCCGCAGGGTCTGTGGCGGGCGTGCGCGGCAGCGCCACCGGGTGAGGCGTGGGCGCCCTGCCGGCGGCCCAGGTGCGAGGGGGACCCGGCGGTGGGAATCCAAGACACCCCGCGCGGAGCGCCAAAAGTTTATGTCTTAGGAGGAGGAGGAGGAGGAGGAGGAGGAGGAGGAGAAGGAGGAGGAGGAGGAGGAGGAGGAGGAGCAGGAGGAGCAGGAGGAGGAGGACGAGGAGGAGGAGGACGAGGAGCAGGAGGAGCAGGAGGGGGAGGAGGAGGACCCTGGCGCAGCCATGCCTTTCTGGCTCGACCAGCCCTGAACCGCTCGATCGGCCCGCGCGCTCGCCGGGCCCGCGGCGCGGGGACTGCTCGGCCCGTGGCGCGGCGCGCTGCCGCCGAGAGCGGCGGCGGCGCCGGGAGGCCTCGAGGCCCACTGGCGGCAGGCGGCCAGGAGGCTCCACATGGTGCCAGTAGAAGAAGACAAAACGTCATATAAACATACACTTTGGGCGCTCCGCGCGGAGTTCTCGGATCCGCGCCCGACCCCCCTCCCTGGCGCGCGGAGCGCGCCAAGGGCTGCGCCGGAGGCGCCGCCAGGGGGGCGCCCGGCGCGGCTCCAAGAAAACCGCGCGGAGCGCAAACAATCTATGTATATGGCGTTCATTCTTCTTCGAGCCAGGGCGAGCGGGTCTGCTCCCGCCGCCCCGCCGTCGTCCACGCTTCCTCCCCGAGTGCCACCCTCGCTCGCCTCGCTCCTCGCTCGCCTCTCTCCTCCCTCCATCTCGGCGACTCCAAAGGGTCTGGTCTGCAAGGGGTGCGTTTTTTACCGACACCCTAGGGGGCACCCCGGGCGGTGGGCGGGGACCTCGATATAGAGTTCTCCGCCGCGCCCCGAGGAGGTCCGACGAGGACAGCGTCGTGCCCCCCATATACCAACGGCGCCGATCGCGGAAGAGGAGGAGGAGGAGGAGGAGGAGGAGGAGGAGGAGGAGGAGGAGGAAGCGGAGGAGGAGGAGGAGGAGGACGAGGAGGAGCAGGAGGAGGAGGAGCAGGAGGAGGAGGAGGAGGAGGAGGAGGAGGAGGAGGAGCAGGAGGAGGAGGAGGAGCAGGAGGAGGAGGAGGAGGAGCAGGATATCGCAAACCACACCCCGGCGTAACCAGTACCTTTGTGCTCGCAGACCGCCTCCCTCCCCCCCCCTGAGCATGGGGGGGCAGCGGGTCCCGAGGGACCCTGGTCCTGGGCCCTCGGGCCTCCCCCCCGACGGTCCCCCGGGGCCCGTGGAGGGCCCCGAGATCCCCAAGACGGCGAAAAGCCCTGCAGGACCCGTCAGTGTTGGGGCCCAGCGGGCGTGTGAACAGAGGCAGAGGGGAGATCGAACTCGATATCTCGATATCTCGATCCCTCGACATCTCGCTCTGGGCGGGGCGCGAACTCGACATCTCGACACCTCGATACGTCTCTCAAGGCGCTCCGATACACGATACTCGATCTCTCGACTCGACACTCGATTCCGCTCGGAACCCGCTTCCCCGATGGCGAGCCCTCCTCGGGCACTGCCCGGGCCCGCGCAACCAACAGCGCGTGGTGACGCCGGTGCTCTCCTGGCCCGGACGCCCGGGCGGCCGACCACGACGGCCCTGCTGCGCCTCACCCCCGGGATCCCCCTCCCCACGAGCCTCGAGGGGCGATCCTCGAACTTCGCTGCCTCGGGCCTCGCTCCCTCGAGCTGGGGGCGCGAAACGTCCAACCCCCCTCAGACGAGCTGATGCGGCACAAGGCCGCGGAGGAGGAGGAGGAGGAGGAGGAGGAGGAGGAGGCCGAGGAGGACAAGGAGGAGGAGGCCGAGGAGGAGGCGGAAAAGGAGGAGGAGCTGGGGACACGATGCTTGCACACCACTCCCGCAAAGCAAGCTGGTCTGGCACAAGGCACGCAGGCAGGGGTGGTGGCCACTAGTCGGCCCCCGACGAATCTCCCTCCTCTGCATTCCTCCTCCCAGCTTCCCCCCTCCTCCCAACTTCCCCCCTCCTCCCAACTTCGCCCCTCCTCCCAACTTCCCCCCTCCTCCCAGCTTCCCCCCCTTATCCATCCATTCTTCCTCCCGACTTGCCCCTGCCTGCCTCCGGACGAGTGCACGGCACGATCACAAACTCTCGGAGGTCCGCGCGGAGATCTAGGATCGGCGCTAAACGCCCCTGGCGGCGCCTCTGGCGCCGCCCATGGAGCGCGACCCGCGCGTCAAGGAACGGGGTCCGGCGCCGAATCGATCCGCGAAGACATCCCCAAACGTATGCGTACAATAGGTGCTCGACCACAAGAAACCTTCCGCAAAAACAAAAACCCTGAGACCCGAGGACGTCCATTGATTTCTGGTGGGAATATTGCGCTTCCCATAGCAGAGCCATCGGAACCGCAAGAAACCCAGGGCATCCTGGAGGCAACAACGGTGTCTCTTGGCATGGGTCTCCTCTGTATGCCTGCGGTGTTTGGGGGGAACCTCTCAGCCGTTCCCCCCAGCCTGCTCCCCCGTTCCCTCTCTTCTTCCTCCCTTCCCCTCCTCTGCCCCCCCCTCCCTCCCCCTCCCTCTCCCTTCCTTCCTTTCGCTCCCCAATCATCCCCTTGCCTTCCCTCCCCCCTTCCCCTGCACCCTGGAGCGCTGCAGATGAAAAAAAATCCCCTCAGGTCTTGCGCGACCCCTCCAGGGCGGGTGGTCCCTGGACCTCCCGTCGGCCCAGGAGCCACCCGGGCCACACTCGCCAAGAGGAGCCCGGCTCTGACGGAGGCAGGAAGAGGAAGAGAGAGGGACAGGGAGGGGCGCGAGGGGCACATAGGGGGGGAGGGACCGGGAGAGGCACGAGAGCGGAGGGGAGGGACACGGAGGGGAGAGACGGGGAGGGACACAGAGGGAGGGGCGCGAGGAAGGGAGGGAGGGGCGCGAGGAAGGGACGGGGAGGGGACGCGAGGGCGGCGCGGGACAGAGAGGAGGAGGAGGAGGAGGAGGAGGAGGAGGAGGAGGAGGAGGAGGAGGAGGCGCCAGGGCGCCCGAGAGGGCACGGTCCTCGGGCGGCCCGTGCGCTCCGGGCACGCAGAGGGCACGGCACGCGGGAGGCGGGGCGCGAGGATGCCCCGGATGCTGCAGGGTCGGCCCGATCACGGCGGGCTCGTGTCGTGTCGACCCGGCCTCGCGGGGAGCGTTCAGCCTGGAACGGTCGGCCCGAGACGTCAGGATCGTACAGCATCGCCCGATTCTGGGTCGCCGGCGACTTTCAGCGTTGAACGCCCGCGGGGGGGTCGCCGCGGGTCGACACGACGCGAACCGACCAGGAGGAGGAGGCGGAGGAGGAGGAGGAGGAGGAGGCCTCAGAAGACTTCTAGTTCAGCGTGCCCGTTGGGGGTCCCGTCTTTCTTCCTTCAGGCTCCCTGTGGCTCATGAGGCCCCTCCCCCCTCTCTCTGTCGGGTGCTCCCCCTCGGGCCCTGACCCTTGTTCTCCGCCTTCCCCCGACCAGGGGGAACGGCGCCGTTTACGCTACCGAGACTGTCGTCTCAGCGACGCCCCTCCACCAGCCTCCGTCACCCCAAGAGTCGCAACGCGCCGACATGTGGTACGCGACCGTCGGTGGGGTGACGGATGCTGGAACGGAGACGGGCCCTCGGCGATCCATAAGTGATCGTTTAATCTGGCCTGGCCCCCCCTCCCTCTCCTGGTCCAGGAGGCCCCTCTCCCGTGCCCCTGGTGGCCCTCGCCTTCGCCCTGTCCCCGCGCTGTCCCGCTGGCCTTCGGACCCTTGGGCTCTCGGGGCTCCCGCATTCCTTCTCTCCGAGGCCACTTGAGGCGTCTCTCTCCTGGAGGCGGGTGGCCCTGGGTTCCAGGGGCAGTTTGAGGCCCCCTCCGGAGGCTCTCCGAGGAAGGAGGCCGTGCGTCGCGCCGCGCGCGGCGGCGCGGCGCGGGCTGCGGCGGACAGACCGCCTTGCCTGCAGTGTTCGAGGAAGAGGAGGAGGAGGAGAAGGAGGAGGAGGAGGAGGAGGAGGGGGAGTGGGAGGAGGAGGAGGAGGAGGAGGAGGAGGAGGAGGAGGAGGACGATGACGAGGAGGAGGAGGGTCAGGAGGAGTAGGACGAGGAGGAGGAGGCTGCGGAAGCTGGGGGCAGCGACAGCAGCAGGCCTGTAGCGCTCCCGGTCAAGCGGGCCCAGTTCCAAACTCACCCCTTGCTCGGTGCCAGCAACAGGGCACGCGGCAGATGTGGGAGCGGCGCTCGAGGTTGCCAGCATCGTCTTCGCACATGTCGGCGAGGCCGCGCGTGAAATAAAAAACACACCCCTTCTTCCACAACTAGAGAGCGAACGCAGCGATACACCCTGCCCTTGAGGAGGAGGAGGAGCAGGAGGAGTATGAGGAGGGGGAGGAGGAGGGGAGGAGGAGGAGGGGGAGGGGATGGAGGAGGAGAAGGAGGAGGAGGAGAAGGAGGAGGAGGAGGGGGAGGGGGAGGAGGGGGGGGGAGGGGGGGGGGAGGGGGAGGGGGAAAGGGAGGAGGAGGAGGAGGAGGAGGAGAAGAAAGGGGGAGGGGGAGGATGAGGAGCAGGAGTAGGAGGGAGAGGATGAGGGTGAGGGTGAGGATGAGGATGCAGAGGAGGAGGAAGAGGGTGAAGAGGAGGAGGAGGAGGAGGACCAGTGTACTTAAACCCAATAATCATCAACGATGTCGGGATAAACCCTCCCTCCAAGCTCCCTTTTCTTAGGTCCCTACAATGGTTCATTTCCATTGAAAGAACTGCCTCGTTGGAAGACAGCCGTTTGAAGACCCTGAAGCATGCTGAAACATTGTTCTCGGGATTCCAACGCCACGGATCAACCTGACTGTTGCGTGTTGACGATCCTGAATCGTGCCAGAACGCCATTCCTGGGACTTCAACGCAACGAATAACGTGACTGTTGCGCCGCTATGGGGGCCACATGCGAACCCTAACCCTACCCCCCACGATTTCTGAGGGGGAGGGTGGGGTTCACTTCGTTCGGAAGCTCTCGAGCGAAGTGAACCCCAACCCTCCCCCTCAGAAATCGTGGGGGGTATGGGGTGGGGTTCGCATATGGCCCCCTACGCGTAATACTGAACCCTTTCAAAACACAATGTCTGGTACGTTGATGATGGGTATCCCTGGAACTCTTGCGAATTCTGTAAAATAATATGCGCGGCGCTAAGGCGAGAACCACTTGAAAACCACCCGCCCTCAATCCGTGAAACTCTTGCAAATTTTGAAAACGAATGCGCCCGGCGCTAAGGCGAGAACCACATGTTGAAAACGACATACCCCAAATCCCTGAAACTCTTGCAAATTCTTTAAAAATAATGTGCGCCGCGCTAAGGCGAAAACCACCTTTTGAAAACAACCCGCCCTCAATCCGTGAAACTCTTGCAAACTTTGAAAACGAATGTGCGCCGCGCTAACGCGAGAGCCACCTTTTAAAACCACCCGCCCTCCATCTGTGAAACTGCTGCCAACTTTAAGCGTCAGAATCATAAATGGTGAGGAAGTCTCAGGCGAAACGCCCGGCCCGCCCTGAGAACTGGCCTCGGGGTGCGACAGGGAAAAGTTATGAGGAGAGGAGGAGGAGGAGGAGGAGGAGGAGGAGGAGGGGGAGGAGGATGAGGATGAGGATGAGGATGAGGATGATGATGAGGATGATGAGGAGGAAGAGGAGGGGGTAATTCTCGATGGCTCCAGGGAGCTCTGGGGGAATTCTGGAGGGCGTCACAAGGTTCCACGACGACGGGGAAGGATCAGTCAGGATCGAATCGGAGAATCGGATGTCGGATAGGATGAGTGCGTCGTATCGCGCTGCATCGGCACGGAGTCGAAATCGAACCAGATCGGGCCGGCCAATCCAACGAAAAAAATCGGGCGTGTCGACGCGGGCCTCCCAGCAGGCCCCGAAGAGGCGAACACGAACGAAGGGCGGCGGCATCGGTCAATTCTGCTCCTCTGCGGAAGGGAGGGGGGCTGGAGGAGAGGAGACCCCCCGTACCCGCCGCCCCCCCGCCCGCAGCCCGACCCACGAGCGCACTGGCAATGAGCTCACCGCGCTATCTGCAGGACGTACGCGTCGGGCGGGCCGTACACGTCGACCTTCAGGACGAGCCTCGTCTTGGCCGTCACGCCGTCCGCGTGGTAGACCGGGTCCGGCGACCTGGGGCCCCTCCTCGCCCGCCGCCCTCCTCCCGTGCACTCGGCCCGTGATGTCCGCGCGTCCGCCGCCTCCGGAGAGGGCGGGAGAGGAGGACGGAGGGGAGGAGATGAGAGGAAAGGAGGAGGAGGAGGAGGAGGAGGAGGAGGAGGAAGAAGAAGAAAAAGAGGAGGAGGAGGAGGAGTTCAGGAGTTCCACGACGAAGTCCATGCATCTCTCTTGGGGACCCGTTATGGGCCCCAGCCTTACGCATGAGCTCGGCCTCACTAAAGACCTTAGGGAATTGCCCCCGTTCAAGACGGTTCAAATATTCGGCACGGGCGGGGGTGTCCTGATTCGCGCACCCCTTCCCCAGGCCCAAAAGCTGCTGATCCCCATACATACCACAGCGCGCGCAGAACCATATATATATATATACATGCTAACACCCCCCTCGATCTGTTTTCACGCAGACTACTCGATCGAGCGCGGGGCGAGCAGTTGTGAGCCTCGCGCGCCAGCTGGCAATCACTCTCTGGCTGCCAACGGCAGGAAGAAGAGGAGAAGAAGAGGGAGGGCAAGGGGGGGGCCCTCAAAAACTTGAGCCAGGATAGCCACGGACAGAGCAATACAGACATGTGCTGAGAGACTCTGCCGGCGAATCCTGATCATTCTGACCCGCTGCGATGCCAATGCGTTCCATGAGCTGCGACCGGCGGAGTTCACCGTAGTGCAACAGACACGTTCAAAACGCCAGGGGGGAAATTCTGTACAAAACGGTCGTTTTGTACAGAATTTCCCCCGCCCCCTCCCGGGCGTCCACGTTTATAAACCGAGCATCACTGGCATCTTCTGAACAAACTACACGAGGGGAGCTACACATGCTATTCTGTAAACAGATGGCACATGCTAACACCCCCCTCGATCTGTTTTCACGCAGACTACTCGATCGAGCGCGGGGCGAGCACTTGTGAGCCTCGCGCGCCAGCTGGCAATCACTCTCTGGCCAATCCCCAGATCAGAGTATCTGTACTCGGGAGGGTGGGCGGGCCCACAGGCAGCGAGCAACGGCCGCTGCCAATTCATGTGGATATGCAACGGCGTTGGCGGTATGAAACGTCTTGCCTGCCCTGCCAGCAAGCTCTACGTGCGGTTGATGAGAGAAACTGCAGACGTGACTGCCAGAACAGTGCGCCCAACTCAGTCGAGAAATATCAAGGTTAGCATACAAGAGTCTCGTGCGTTTACGATATGGGCAACCGAAGGCGCAATAGTCAATGTCGATATACCGCCACTTCTCGCACAAGCGCTGGAACTCTGGATGACACCAGATGAAACTGCTCTGCGGGTTCTCAATCACCACGGGGCAGCCTCGAAGCGCTGCGAACTGGAAGAGGCGAGCGGCCCAAGTCGCACGAGCGTTGCCTCCGTGAACAGCTGCCAGATCCTTCCCAGCGAGGTGGGGTAAACCGAAGATGCACTTTCGCGACCGCAGCGGCGCTGGCCACCCGGGCTGCCCAGAGACGTTGCGTCTGGCACGCGACCAAGTGGCGCTTATGGAGCCAATCCACAGCAGGGCAACTAGCCTCAAACGGAGACTCTCGTAAATGCATTTTCTGACGAGAGGGTGCATGCAGTCCTGCATCTCCGACTCGGACAGCTCCCAAGACCGGGCCTGGAAACCGGCAGCGGCGGCGGCAGCGGCAATGCGCGCTGAGCCCGCCATCAGCTCGAACACCTCCCCAGGCCTCCGAAAGCGGCGGGGTCGGTGTAGCCGGCCGCCGCGGCCCTTCCAGTTCACGCCGCCGCAGCGACGCCGCTGCGGGGCGCCCACGATCCGGGCGCCTCGCGCTTCAGCAGGCGCTCGAGCAAGTTCATCTGCTGGACGCCGAACGCCCTGTTCTCCGCTGGCATCGCGTTGAGCAGCTGGTGAATGGCCCCGGGCTTCGCGTACCTGCGCAAGCTGCTCTCGGATTTCCAATGGCCGCGCGCCTTCACGGCGTCCGCCGGCCGCCTCTGGGTGAGCAGGTCGTCGCTGGCCCCGCCGTGCCGGAGCTGGTACAGGCATACGCCCGGGACGCCCAGGGCGGCCACAACACGGCCGAAGGCCGCTGCCATGCCTGGGCCGCCCGTCGTGAAGAGGGGGGCGGTCGGAGGCTTGCCCCGCGCATGCGCCTGCAGCACAGGCCCCAGCCAGGCGGGCTCGTCCAGCAGCACCGTCTCGTCCGAGGTGCCGGTCTTGGTCAGGACCCGGGGCGCGCCCACCGTCTCGGTCGGTGCCAGGATGATCGACCAGTGGCTCAGCGGCCCCGACCGCCTCGCTGGGGGCAGCAGCTGCCCGACCGTCAGCTGTCGGAGAGCCCCAGGGCGAATGTAGGTGTAGAACAGAACCGCGACTTGCAGCGCCTGGTCGTGCAGCCCCAGGGCCAGCAGCATCGACACCGCTGCCGCCATGAGCTCCTTTGGTGCCGGTGCCCGGGACCGAGGCGGCCGCTTTTTCCCGAACCCCCGTAGGGCGCGGGTCACCCGAGGCAGAGTCCCCGAGCCGACCGCGAAGGGGAAGTGATCCTTGACCGCCGCCACGAGCGTGTCCGCATCGCCCTTGGTACCATCGGCCCCCAGCAGGTGGTCGAGCGCCTCGAGCAGCCTGATCTGCAGCTCGTTGACGTCGGCTGGGACGCGGCCCTTCGTCTGGCAGAAGTCGAGGAAGGCGTCGCAGAGCGGCCTGTAGTTGGCGCGCGTGGCAGCGCCTGCTGCGGCCTCCTCGCAGTGCGAGCGGGCCGCGGCCGAGGCCGGCGACTTGAATGCCTGGCTCAGCGCCGCCGCGACCCGCCTCGGCCGGGGGAAAGCGGCCGGCTGCTGCCGGGCGCGGGGGCCGGCCGCCGCAGGCCGCCGCCTGGCGGCGGGCCGCCGCTTCGGCGGTCCCGCAGCAGGCGTGAAGGCCGGAATCGGCGCAGCCTCGGCCTCGGCTGTCGGCCTCTCCTCGCAGCTCTGCGAGGGCCCGGCGCCAGCTCGACTCAGCGGACCAAGCATGGCCGAGCGGGCCCTGGTGCTCGAAGAGCCGACTGCCCGCGTCCGCGGGGTTGAACTCGGACGGGATCCAGCGGAACCTGGGGCTGATCCCGCTTGCGAGACAGATGGCAGCGGTCCGACGGCACAACTGTAATATGGCGTGTGACGATGACCTCCCCCGATCCAGCCCGCAGCAAACCCCGAAGTTGTCGATGAGAAATAGCCTGATAGTTCCGAAGTTCCGAACGTCCCGAGCAGCCCGTCTGAGCCCCCACAGAAACGCCCGCCCCTCCTTGACACCGATATGCTCCTGATAACGTAGGGGGCCAGCATATATCGTGCGATACCCTGTCGTCGCGAACTCCCGAGGAACCTCTGGAAATCCTTGATGAAGAGCCCACCCTGGACCAGATGGCGACGGTGAGCAGGCAGTGACGGTGAGGGGATCTTCGATCTCAGCGAACTCCTGGGCAAGGGCACGGCGCCTCGGCGCCCACTCGTCGGGATTCAGCCGCCTGTACCTCCACCGCTCCCGCCATCGCCCGACGGAGGCCACGGCGGAGACCGGGAAAACTGCTTCGCACACCGCCATGCCACGGTTCGCGGCATCGGAGGCCGTCACGACGGGCGACCACGGCCGGTCGAGCCTCGCAGAGAGAAGCAAGCTCACGTCGGCCATTACCCACGCCTCGTACCGGCAGGAGGCCCACAAGCGCGTCGGCATGACGTACTTGTCGCGGATGAAATCGTACAGCGACCGCATCACGCTGAGCCCGAGCCTGTTGAAGGACGTGAGCGCAACGTAGTGCCCGACGATGACCTCCACCTGGCGCCCAGTGACGGTGGGCCCCGAAGCCAGCCACTGCAGCGCCCCTCGCACTAACAGCAACTTGTTCAAGACCCGGCGCGTGCTCGGCGGAGATCCGCCGACGCTCGCGCCCAGGATCACCGCGGCGTCCGAGACGGGCGAAATCTCGTGCATCGCGAAGCCATGCCGCTCGAAGGTGGAGACGATCTTGTCGCGGAGCTCCCCGACGGCGACCGGGTCCAGCCCGATCACGTTCACGTTGTCGGAGTATGGGAGCTCGACAGGGCCGCCCTCCAGCAGCGGCAGCGGCCACCCGCCAAGCGCCAGGCGACTGGAGTCAATCCCAGCGCGCCGCAGCATTTCTAGGTGGACGCGCTGGACGAACCAGAAGGCCCAGGACCAGCCCATCGGCAGCACGTTCAACGCCACGTGGAGCTTCATCTTTGCGTCGTGGAACAAGCCCGTGACGTCGAAGCCCAGGTGTGTCGCTTCTGCCACCGAGATTCCTGGCAGACAGAAGAATTCGATGAGCGACCCCAGCCCGCCACACTGGTAGAAGCAGGCCTCGATGTCCGCCGACGCCGTGAACACCTGGCGGCCCCGCGGCACCTCGAGCCCGCTCAGGCAGTCCAGCGCTCCGATCTCCATCACGGGGGCGTGGTGGAAAAGGATGTTGACGAGCCGGCAGTCCAGCACCAAACGCTGCTTCCCATTTTTCTTGGAAACGAAAAACGGGGTCACGCTGCCTCGGCGGCGGCCGACAAGAGAGATGATGCCGCGAGACTTCAACATCGACAAGAACTGGATGTACTTGGGCCGGCTCGCCCGGAACTCGAGGTCGAGGTACGGCTGCGCCGGCGCCGACATACGCCGCTGCTCCACCACGTCAGGCGAGGCGAGCAGGTCAGTCTCAAAGTTCTGCAAAACTGCGGCCGCCTCCGGGTCGAGCGCGCCCGAGAGGCAGGCCGCCCCCTTGCCGAGAGGGGGCAGGGAGACGCGGTCCCCGTCGAATGGCTCGACCGTGGTGCCGTCACCTCCATGCTCCATTTTGGGACCCAGAAGTCGACGAGCGGCTTCCCGGGGAACGACGTGTTCAAAATCTTGCCTGGCAGCACGAGCGGTGCTCAGCAGATCTCTGTGTACCTGATGCTGAGCAGGCGTCGGAGCCCCGCCTGGCGGACGGACGCACCCGTACAAGGAGTTC